AATTGACATAAAAATTTGAGAATTAGTCATGGCTACATATTTTTGGCCAGCACTGTAGCAGCACAGTCTGCAGACTATAGACATTAGCCACGCAAAAGATGCTGAACAAGTTTGTATCGTTAATTTTATGTTTATACCCATAAAGAATGTCATAGTATAAATTGTAATCTATCATATGTTTCAATATTCATTTGAACAATATGATAATTACAACTTTTGTTGGCTATGATTCAATCACGACACATTGTGTGTGGTTAAATTGTTTTGGCCATGGCGGAGCAGATGAGCGCAGAACAAATCAAGTCCATAGAGGAGCTAGTTTCTTTCCTTTCACACCCACGACCAGAGCTTCGCAAGTCATCATCAAGTCTGATTGTCAACATGACGGCATCAGACCAAGGCATTTATCAGTTGCAGCAGTTGAAAAATTTCGATGTTGTGCAAGCACTCTGCCGAGTCGTCAGTGACATGCGTCCCATCGCTGAGGATGGTATTAAGGCACTTATAAATATCACAGCAGCTGATCCAGCTTCTTGCGAGCGCGTACTCAAATATGATTTATTGAATCGTGTCATGACTCAAGTTGAGGACGACGATTGGTGCCTTACCGACTATTCTATGATGCTACTGGCCAACGTGACTACGACACCTGAAGGTGCTAAAGCGTTGCTTGGGTACAATGACGAAGCAACAGATGCAATATTAGCTTTGCGCGAGAAGAAGATTCGTACACTAACCACCTTGTTTTTAAGCGGACAACCAGAGCCCGATGGAATTGCCTGTAGCACAGGTGAGCCCAATTGGGATGACGATTATCAGTACGTAGCGAACATACTCGCCAACATTAGTCAGCTCGAACAGGGTCGAGACTTTTTGCTTAAAATGCGTCAAAATACGTCACTCGCAAGCGCACTTTTGCCGCAACTTCAATCGCCCAATGTAGTTCGTCGAAGGGGTATCACGGCTGCGCTTAAGAATTTGTGCTTTGATACAGACAATCACTTTTACCTATATGACCAGTTAGACATTCCTACGCATTTGATGGTCCTACTCTCCGGTCCTGAAGAACTCGACGAAGACGATAAAATCGGCATGAATCCGATTGTATACAATCAGGGCGATAAGAAAAAACGTGAATATGACCGACTCGTTCGCCTCAATGCCGTGGACTGTCTGTTGCTGTTGTGCACGACACTAAATGGCCGTCAAGTTTTGCGTCGAAAACAAGTTTATCCAATCATTCGCAATGCTCACTTGGTTGAGTCCGATGAGGAGATTGGCGACCAAATCTACAAGCTTGTTGACTTTTTAATTCGTGATGAAGAAGGCGAGGAGCCTAATTGGGACGATGTTCGTACAAAGTCATTTGCCGATGAGATTGCCGAAATTGCGCCACCAAATTCTGCAGCTCAGACACACACGACCCCTACAAAGACAAATATTGAGTCTGGAACGGAACTTGAGTTCAAAAGGTCAAAACTGATTGACAAGAGCTTCATCAAAGCGTCTGCGACACTTCCCAATAGTGGAGAAGACGAACAATTGACAGACGATGTTGCTGATAAATTCGCTGACGAAATTTTGGCATTAGATGTGAGTAGCGACGAAGAAGAGGAAAACGTTGGTGTAGACTAAATTTTGAGACGACATCGCCATAGTTATAGATTCTGCTCTCTAATCGAGCCAAACCATCCAAATGATAAAAAGGCTACTAGCGTGACCAACACTATATGTATGCGTATCAACAAATTCAAGTATTCAAATACGATACATTATTGCTATGTGCATGCAGCTTCACGCCACGAAATCTTTCGATCTTGGACAACCGAGTTCATTCTTCTGTCGTTACTTGGGCGGGTTTGAAAGCATAATTAAGAGTCGTGAGCACATTTAAGTGCTTTTACGAAACATAAGCGGCTGGGATGCCACTGCCAGAAAGCGCTCCTTGCTAAACTTTCGCCGCGCAGCAGTAAGTTTTGCAAGCTTACCCACGCCATTGTGAGCATTCCACAGCATCTCCATGAGATCATCGACACAGGGAGTAAGACTTCGCTCACTGTACGACGAGTGGTACTCTAACGTTGACGACTAGCATTTACAGCATAAGGTAACGGCTTAAAATAAAACAAATAATGCGACGTACCCATGCTGGAGTATCTCTCATCTGCGTCCGCGCAACGTAGACAGCCGATGCGGCAATCGTAGATGGTAAATATTTCATCAACTTGTACTCTTGCAGGGTACGATCAATAACGTAGTGTGCAAAGTGCTCTACTCGATCATCACAAGTGCGGGATGCCTTAATGAAGCGCTTCATAAACTGAAAGGCAGTCGGGAATGTCACTCGAAAGCCAATAGTGGCAAGCATCTTCGCTTCCATCTGAAAGACTTCCTCACGCGTGTAGGCACTGTCCGTAATCTTGACAAAGTCTTCAGCTTCCGGGGGAAATATTTCTTCGTACTTTGAGGCGATGAACATTGCCGTCACACCAACGAGCTGTAACCGCTGACGGCCAACCGACAAGTTTTTTTCCAAGAAGTAGTCGATCAAGTGAACGGCAATATGCAACGTTTGTGGCAACAAGCCGTATTTATAGTGCACATCTACCAGCCAATCTACAAGTATTGCACGCATTTTTGAATTAATGTCCGATTGGCGGGCCATATAAGAGCTACTGGGCTTCCTTTTCTTCTGCACATTCGTCCAAGTGGGTATTATAGTTCATCGTGTATACATGAAAGGCCTTACCTCCGTCTCCAAATGAAACTTCGTGATATCCTCAGCGTATTGCCAGCATGCGGCTGGATTATTTTTGTCTTCAAGGTCAATATCATGTTGTTCTTGTTCCGGTATGAGTGAGATGACATTAATCGTTGGCGAAATCTTGTCCAAGTAACCATGCGAGGTGATGACTGAGGCTGTAGTTGGAGCCGAACGACTGATCCGGCTACTGATCGAGGACGAATTAAAAGCGCTTCGAATGGACGTGGTGCTTTTGGCTGAGCTAGCAAGGCGACTACCAATATTGATATTGTCAAAGTTCCTTTTACTGGCGTCGTGTGTGTTGAGCGCGCGACTGCTAGTATTGACGTTACTAAGGTTGCGCTTGCTTGCAATAATCTTCTTTTTTGCCAAAGCTCCTGTATTCGCGATCGTGGAGCTCATTGCGCTCACACTGGACTTTTTGATCTACAGCATCAATTAGTGGAACATTTGGTCGCATTTTTATTTCTTACAACAAATCGCGTACGTTGATTCTGTTAGTTGCATCGCCTAAAGCAGCGCGTCTGTTAGTCACATCTCCTAAAGCAGTTCTACGAGACCCTCCAATGGTTGTAAGATTCTGTGACTTCACAACACGCAGACGCTTTTCCGCATTGCCAATATCTTGCGCATCTCGTACGATATGGTGCTGCAAAGAACAATGTAAGACATCAGGCCTTTCATCAATTATGTAGGGTAGCTGGATAGAAGAAAAGAAACACCTTTACGGGACGAGAAGTGCCTAGTTCCACAGGCATTTCATTCTCATTATTGATTCGAACGCTTCTTCTGACGAAAGACATGTCTGGAAGGGTAGACAGGTAGAGGTGACAATATAGAAGAGCTAACTTTAATCCGTGCTACGAACAATAAACTGTCAGCGTTAAGGTGAGCGGTTGATCGTAAATGGAAAGTCTTTTTGGGGGAAAAAGCACAATGAAAATAGTAGCCAATCAGGGACCGCACTTTTCAATTTAAAGCTTTCTAAGCGATGTAATTGGACACAACTATAATTTCTATCTGAGCACATGAAGTGAGATTATCTATGAGACAGCTTGATGCGTTTAAGTCAAATTGTCGTGTTGAGCTTGGCGAGATAGCACTATATCACATCGCTCCATGCTACCGCAGCATTCGCCTTTTCTATTTTGCTGTGCCTTTTCTATAAGAGATTGCTAGGAATAATATCGGCTAACTTGGAATGTGGTTTCGTCTACTTATAATTTGGATAATAAGCAGAATCTTTAATAAATTTTTAGTCAAACTCAATATTTATGTACCATCGACGCCGCAAAAACGACGTGGTGCATTGCACGTTGAAATGGCTGGCTGGCGGATCCTTTGACGATTAATTTGCATAGCTTTAAAATGATCCTACTTTTTAATGCTTAGGTTCTCGTACTTGCTTATATGGAACTCGTTACAAAGATTGCTCAAGCTCCCATAAGTTGTCATCGAAAATTTCTTTGGTGCCGTTCCCGCTTAAGACTTACTGCAGTTCTGACTGCATCCGCTTAGTAGAGACATTATTGTAGAGACTAGCGCGATTCTCACTAGCAAATATGGCTTAATTTAGCTCCGAATTCAAAGCTATGCGGTGGCTATAACAATTGTTCCATGGAGATATACGAGGCTGTCAGTAGCAAGGATATGAGATATGGGCATCTAAACTCGACGTCTTTGGCTTGCTTGAAAATTCACAAGGCCAAGCACCACAAGACGGTCTAACGGACGTCTTCTTTGCTGAAGTTAGCTTATATGCTACCATGCGGGCGACGCGACGTGTTTTCCTCACCGAGCACGCGAAGTAAGTGCGCTTTGCACTTACTTCGCATTCAGTATCTAGCATCCATTCATCGTAGTGGATACGGACTTACTCAATCGCTGCTGCTTTAAGCCAGGCAATACGTCCTGGAATTTTGACGTATAGGGTCAGAAAAATTAACGAAGCAATTTTGAGCGCTCATTTTGCTCTAGCTCGAGCAGAATACCGCATGAAAGGCGCTTAAAGACCTTTTCACGGCGTGGTAAGCGGAATCATATAGTTTATACCCATAATTTTGCCGTGATTAAATCGACAATGGTTCATAGCAACTTGCAGGCAGGCATTCCAGGTCCAGCTTATTCGTGTCGAGCTGGATGTCGTCGTGATCTTCACGATGGAGTATCACGACACTTTTTCATTGGGAGTGCCTCTGTCGTATTATCTGCAGTGAGGGCGGATAAATACGCTACGATCGCTTCTACCAGAGAACATTTCGGCGAACACCACGGTCTCCTCACCTTGCGTGACTACAACGCTATCGGCTGCGTCTTTCTACAAGGCTTGTGGAATCACGAAAGGGTATGCCAAGGAATTGGATTCGATGTTTATTAGGTCGTAAGAACAGGCGCTACAAGGTGCAGATGATGGAGATAAAATCCAAGTGCAGTGGGTGTGTTCACATTTGCGCAATGTCTCAGCAATACACAAATATACCCCCAGTGTGGTCCACATCTGACCTCGTTAGTGGTACTATACAGTACCACTAACGTGGTACTATACAGTACCACTAAGACACCCTTAGAGACAGCGATGATGTACTATGTACTACTATACAGTAGATGATGTACTATATAGCGATGATGTTAGATGTACATCATCTCTATAGTACATCATCGCTATATAGTACATCATCGCTACATCATATAGTACATATATATGATGATTTACTATATAGATGTACTGTATAGTACTATACAGTACATCTATCATCGCTGTCTCTAAGGGTGTATGTACTATATAGTTAGTACTATATAGTACAAGGTGTATACAGCAATGATGTACTATCATACAGCAATGATGTACTATATATCATACAGCGATGATGTACTACTATGTAGTAATACATAGTACAATAACTATTGTACATCATCGCTGTCTCTAAGGGTGTACTATTAGTACTAATAGTACATCTTACTATACAACATCGCTGTATATAGTACATCATTGCTGTCTCTGAGGTGTTTAGGGGTACTCTCGATGCCTTATTAGGGGTAGGAAGAGGGGACGGGGACAAATCCCCAGACATTTTTTT